TGCAAAATGACCCGTTCACTATATCAAGTTCCGTACTTTGAACTCACTTGCGCCCCGAAACACGCGTTGCCACATCACGTGTTTCGGGGCGCAAGGATTATACACCTGTCATACGGGCAATCAGAATTTGACACGGTGGTATCCAGTTGATCAGAAAACAGCCAATAAAATCGTCTGTCCTTTGCGAGTCTTATCCCCTTCCATGCGGACTTGGTTACGTAACTGCAGCCGGCGTTGAAGTCACCTATGATGATGACGTCATTCAAGTTCCATCGTTGTACAATGTCGTCATAAACGTCAACCAGACGATCGATTTCGGAGACTGCTTGTGATGGAGATGTGTGCATGGCGGCCATTGCAAAGTTCGTAACATCTAAAAGAAAGACAAAGAATGATTTAAAGCTAACATTGAGGACTTAAGTGAGTCGCGTTTTAAAATTCCTTGTATAATACTCTCTGACTTTTCCCTTATTTTCTTATGGGGTAGATAATATTTTTGACAATCCAACACGTCCGTCATTTAACTACCATTGCAAAATGCAAATCCACTAAACATAACAACAAAATCCACCACTCAAAATTTGCAAAGTTTTACTGACAGCCCAGCAGCCAGCTGCACAATATCGCCAACCCAAAAGGACTCGAATCCTTGGGAGCTTTCTGGGTGCACATCTCGTTCAGGATCCGTCGCCTTGCCTTTTGGGTGACTCACCAACACCTTTGCAACATCTGGGAGTACCTTTATTCAGAATCACGCCCTCGATAGTGAGAGACTTTGCTAAGCAGCCAGGTACACGTGGCGCCTTGCTGACGTAACAACGTTCTGACTACTTACCAGGCTTACATGGGAATACAGCGTGATGTTTTGTTTGGCTACTGGAAACTCTATGATAGTTCTACGTTTTTCCAAAAGTAAGGAACGCGTTAATTAAAGGACAACTTACACGTGCTGTGTGCCTTGAAGCGCACAATGAATGGCTCACGTTGGAATTTATCCATGTTTGTGCTTTCGTCACCATCATCAAAGACATAGTTATCTTGAAGAGTCATCTTGTCTTTCCTAAAGACGACAATGAAACTGGTTTTAAAATACATATATGTTATCTAACCAGCGTGACGTCCGTATTAGAAAAATATTGGTCCAGTTCTTTTTTTTTTTTTCAGGTTTTAGACCGAGCCGCAGACGGGGTCCATAAACTTGCTAAAAAAGAACGCAGATTTTAGCAGATTGAAAGGAGCCATTATAATAAATACTTAAAAGTATTTATTATAATGCGGGCTCTTTTCAATCTGCTCATAAATTGATTCGTCTCCCCATTCGGTGAACGCGCGGGCGAAAGGTAAGCATTTATGTACGTTTGAAGGAGAAAAGGTTTTAAGGAGAAACGATTTCTACTTAACAAAACAAACTGCTTATTTAATGCAATCAATTAAAAAAGCAAATCCCCGAAATTAATTTGTAAGCGGTTCATCTCAGCGGTCCCGTAATGCAAAATTCGGACCGCTAACGGAACTTATCAGAATTCTCCTAAATTTATCGCGGACCCGTTCAGACATATTATAAAGCTTTTTATTGCATGTTTAAGAGAGCTGAGAAGTTCAGCTACTCGAAATACTTTTGTTGCCGGTCAATTAAGACTCTCTTACAATCATAAACTCGTCTAATAATTGTAATATCTTATTACTCAATCGTGATCGGAACAGTACTGAGAGAGCATCGGCCCTTGGTCGTTATTGCACTGGTTCCATTCTATCAAGACCTATAGTCGATATTCAGCCGAAACCCATGTGCTTAGTTAGTAGGATATATTTAGGGAGCTTTTAGGCAAAAGATTGCGCTTAAATTAACCTTGAAACTTAACAGTGCCTGATAAGAAATGCCGAATGACAAAGACTGAAAATAGAATATGTAACCTTTTTGTAAAATAAAAAATGTAACCTTCCTGAAAATAGAAATATTTCTTTTAAAATGCTCTAGAAAATGATAAATAATTCTTTCCATCCTTCCCTCCATTCAATTTGTAGAAGTACAGGGTAAGGGTGTGGCTAGCGTGATTCTATGTTGGTCCAGATTGCTCGCGGCCACGGCGCCGTTGGGGATTGGAGAGAGTGCGTGGCCGCGTGTGGTCTGGACCGTCTGAGAATCAGTCTGGTGTGTGGCCTGTCGGACGTGCAATCCTTGCTCTTTGTTGTTGCACGCATCACGGCTTCTGTTGCTGATATGTACCTGTAGAAGTATGCATACTGTTCCTTACTAGCTGTCCTGCCCAGCCTGACACTCAACGCCATCTTGTAGATGCCAGGTGGAGACGAAAACCTGCCGTGAAACAGGAAACAATCATAAATATAGCTGGTCACTTACGCCTACAGAACATAAATTTAAGAAATGTTTCCCGCAGCTTTTGTCCAAGTTATTCTGCGGTACAAGTTGCACTAAAACGGCGTGCTCGCGATATTTCTATTGTTCTTCCTGCGAGGCGGTCAACTGGTTTCTACTTTTTTCAGCAAGTGTGACAATGCTATAAAAACACTTACGGCAATTGTCAACTTGAAATTGATAAAGCAAATCAACCACCGTAACGGACGTTTTGAACATGAGCCCTGAGTCAGAGGAAATTTGCTTTGGTGTTCCACATTGTGAAGTATATATATGAAATTATTCATATCTGAACTGCGGTTGTAGATGAAAGTGAAGAATGATCATCGCAGTAAATTTTCCAATTTAAGCAATTGGAAAGAAGAAGCCTGAAAAAAATC